TGACGATGCCTTGTTTGGATCTGGCAAGGCTGCTGAAGTACTCCTGGATGGTGCCATTGTCATCCTTAGCTCCACGGTACCGCCATCATTCGTGCGGGAGCTTGAGAGCAAGCTCACCAACGTCGGCAAGGGCATCAGCTTGATCGATGCGCCTGTCAGTGGAGGCGTCGTTCGTGCCGCGAACGGTACCCTGACTATTATCTGCTCAGGAGACGATGCCATCATTTCAAAGGTCAACGCTCCCCTGATGGCCATGACTGGAACTTCAAGCAACCTTTGCCATGTCCAGGGTGGTGTTGGAGCTGCATCTTCGGTCAAGCTTATCAACCAATTGCTCGCCGGTGTTCACATTGCAGCAGCTGCCGAGGCCATGGCCCTCGCTGCTCGCCTGGGCCTGGACACAAGACGCGTCTTCGACCTCCTGGGTAACGCCGCTGGCTGGAGCTGGATGTTTGAGAACAGGGTACCTCAAATGCTCGATGCCGATTGGACACCGCACTCTGCCTTGGCAATCTTCGTCAAGGATCTCGGTATTGTGCTTGACGAGGCGAAGCGCCTTACTTACTTCGCCCCGATCTCGTCCGCCGCCCACACTCTGTATCTCTCCGGCGCTGCTCATGGCTGGACGAAGGAATCTGATGCTGGCGTGGTGAGGCTCTGGGAGCTGACCGGCATCTCTGTGTCTGGTAACGCTGGACCCAAGCAGGAAAACAAGAGCGATGCCGCTGCCTCGCCGGTCGTTGACCAAGACGAGGCTCTGCCAGCCCAAAAGACACTCGAAGCTTTGCCCGCCGAGTACTCAGACGACGTCATCAGCTCGACCCAGAAGGTTGTCAACAACGGCGAAGTCCCTGTGCTTATCGCGCTCGACGACGACCCAACAGGCACGCAGACCTGCAACGACATTGACGTTTTGACTGTCTGGGATGCCGCGACCCTGGATTATGAGTTCAGCCTCAATCCCAAGGGCTTCTTCATTCTGACCAACTCGCGTGCTCTTCCTTCTGCCGAGGCGCGCCAGTTGATCCTTGAGATATGCCAAAACGTGAAGAAGGCTGCTGAGAAGGCCGGCAAGGCTTTCGAGATTGTGCTCAGAGGTGACTCCACCCTTCGTGGCCATCTTCCGGAGGAGCCAGAGGCCGCTGAGGAGGCGTTGGGCAAGTTTGATGCGTGGGTCGTGACACCCTTCTTCTTCCAGGGTGGGCGATTGACCATCAACGACGTTCACTACGTCAAGGAGGGCGATGTTCTCGTGCCTGCGAGCCACACACCGTTCGCGCAGGATGCCACCTTTGGATACAAGAACTCGAACCTCCGCAAGTACATCCTCGAGAAGTGTGGTCATCGGTTTGACGAGTCTTCCTTCTTGTCGGTGACTCTCGACGATATCCGTCTAGGTGGGCCTGCTGGCGTCGCGAAGAAGCTCCTCTCAGCGGCTGCAGGATCCAACACGGTGGTCATCGTCAACGCCGCTGCGGAGTCTGATATGCACGTCTTCGTGGCAGGACTGCTCGAGGCTAACAAGAGCGGAAGGCGATACCTGTTCCGCACTGGTGCCGCCTTTGTCTCGTCGCGCCTCGGCATCACCGGCATTCCGCCGCTGACCATGGCAGACCTTGGCGTGTCAGTCACGGAGCCCAAGCAGCCGGGTGGACTGATCGTCGCTGGGTCCTACGTGCCGAAGACGACAGCCCAGCTGAAAGTCCTTCGGGAGAGACGGGGCGACAAGCTAGCCGTGATCGAGCTGGACGTTGCCGATTTGGTCGCATCCGACGAGGCAGCTGAAAAGGTTGTCGAGGCCGCAGCCACTGAAACCACCAAGAGGCTGAGCGCGGGCGAGGATGTTCTCGTCATGACGTCCCGAGAGCTCATCAAGGGTCACGATGCCCTGAGCTCGCTCCAGATCGGATCCAAGGTCGCTCGTGCGCTGGTCCAGCTTGTCGAGAAGATTGACGTCAGGCCGCGCTATCTTATTGCCAAGGGTGGCATCACATCATCCGACGCGGCGACGAAGGGATTGAAGATGAGGAGAGCGCGCATCCTGGGCCAAGCCGCCCCGGGCGTGCCGTTGTGGAGGTGCGACGAGGAAACGAGCAGGCATCGCGGAGTGCCTTACGTCGTGTTCCCAGGTAATGTCGGAAGCGACCAGACGCTTGCCGATGTTGTTGAGTCGTGGACGATTGCAAGCGTTGCATAGAAATTGCATGGAAGCAGCATAAGCGAGCCATATACCATTGGTGTACACCCGGAAACAAGGTGTTATTTTTTTTTAGACAGATTTAATGATGACGATAATGATCTTCTTATACTCGATGCTATTCGCAAAGTCGGCCGAGATGTGGTGTTGGTCCCTGGTAGTCTGAGTCTGGGTTGAGGCAATCGTGAAAGTCCGAGGAAGAGGAAGGATGGCTGATGTAAGGCACCCAAGATTATGTCATCCTGGCTTCACGGTGCCCATTAACAAAGATCTGTGCTCGCACCGTACAGACCACCTCCGCCATCCAATTAAAGCACTCGTTATGTGCCTTTGGGCTCCACTATTCCATGGGTGTTCCACTCCAGGCTTCAACGGTCATCATCGTCATGTTTCGTTGACACATGCATCGTTCACATCCAATATCCCGAAGACTCACATCACCTGCACATTCTGACTGCTTGCACGACTCTTATATATGTTCATTGAGCTGTAGACGACTTTTTGCTTGTAGAATTTGGTCTACAACTCCCAAGAAATCGGCAGTTTGTACCATATCATGACTCATCCACATCGTGACGACGACACGAACCCGCCCGACCTGCACCCGACCTCTTCGGTGAAATCCAACCCTTTTCACCACCAGAAGACGAGAAATTGAACTTGAAGCAACACTTTTAGAACACGTTCATGCGAAATCACAACGAAAACAGGTGCTGCTGAGTCAGTGAAGGCGTCACGAGGCCTCTGTGAAGCACGAAAACGGACATCTCACCCTTATCTTCGGCATTTACGTCAGTAAAAATGCATGGCATCCAGCTTCAGCCAGATCACCAAGATGGTCGGGTCTCAGATGGCAGGCCGTCGCATGTCGCAACTTCAGATATCGACGAAAGCTTTGTCAGGGCAGCTGAAGACATTCTCAACCGCAGCACAGTGCTCTGCGCAGAGCTGGACCTGCTCCGATCCGCCGTCGAGATAGAAGCGGAGAAGGTTAATAACCACTGGCACGCATACATCCCCGGTTTCAGCACGTTCTGGCAGTCAAATTCAAACCAGAAAACCCGAGCAGAAGCGCTTCTGCAACGCACGAAGGAGCCACTGAAAGAGCCCGAGGCCGAGGGGGCTCTTCATCGCGACTTCAGGCTTCTCGAAGGCGAGCTGTCGTCCTATGAGAACCATTGGGTGGCCATCAAGAAGTGTCGGTCGGTGACGTGGTTCCGTTATGCCGTGCCGTACAGCAAAACCGATGCCTCTGGCCAGAGCTCAGTCTTCGTGAGTGCCATAGTAGACAATGGTCATGAGTGGCTGAGGGTTCTCAGCACAACGGAAAGAGGCCTGCTTGTACAGATGGCCGAGGCAGATTTTCCTTGGGACGAACCAGATGACGAGGATGACGACCCTGACTTGCAAGAAGTCATTGACGACGACGAATCACAGATCGAAATCCTCAAGTCTGTGAAGTCACTTTTAGTTGCAGCCCGAGAGATTCACGGAGGCTACAGTCATCGCATCCGGATGGTTCTACCAAACATCTATAGTGGTCGTCAGCCGGCTATCGACAGGTTTCTCCGAGGGGTGCAGAGTTTAGGGGACGACCAGATTTCTCTAGTTATCGAGTGTGCCGAGACAACACATCACGCTCCTCCACCCCTGGAGACTGCTATAACGAACCTTCTGGATCTTGGGAGCTCGATCAACCCGCCGCCATTGACACCAACTCTCAACATAGACACCTCCATTTTCGTTGCTTTAACCACCGACATTTGCCATAATCACGGCTCCCAGAGGAAATGGCGTCCCAAGATCCTCGAAGACGTTACCGACGAGGCCGAGCATGGACCACGACTTGGAAACTCCCTTTACCCCATCTTGCGAGGGCACACCCTCGTCTGCACCCGCGAAGCTGCAGAGACATGTCTGCGCATGGTCTATGACGCTTCCACCGAAGACGAAGTTGCCAGGTTAGAAATCCTCCTGGGACAGGAAACCCTGCGAGGGAAGCAGGATGACAAAATGTCCTTTCTCGCACGCGTCCTCAAGCAAGACGGCTGGCCATTGTCTGAAAAGGATAGCCTCGCCACGGAGGAGCGTCGAAAGGAGCTCATCGCCCAGCTGGAGAAATACTCGTGCCATCCCGTACCAGCCGATCTCCAACTGCCAATCCGCATCGTCGAGGACTTCCGAAGACCACATGTCCATGACGAAGTTGCCAAAGGCACGTTGCCAAAAGTGGCACTCGCAGTAGAACCGACCTTGAACGAGACAAACTGCTCGTCCTTCATGTTCGGCTGGAAGACAGGCTACACCACCATCACCTGCAACCGCCACGCAGTGCGCCGTCTGGGAAACCTCGTCAAGAAGCTGCGGTGGTCGAGGGACGCGGAAACGGCGCCTATTCTGGCGTTGGATTGGGCCAGAGGACTAGCCAAGATCCCGTTCCCGGGGGAGGTCCTAGTTGACGGGCCGGCTAAATCCGCGTCAGCACACTAATCATCGGGCGTTCTGTTGACGCCATTGAGATAATGTCGGCAGGGGGATGTTGGGAGGGAACTATTGGGGGGTTCGGATTTCTAAGCTAGGAGGGGACAGGGCTGAAAGGATCGCGCAGCCCACTCTGGAAGGATTCCAATCTGAGTTATTTGTAAGCTGACTGCTGCGGGAAGATGGTGTCAGCTACGCATACAGACAGGCGCGCCTGCCAGAGTATAAAAGAAGTACCTACACATGAGAAGAACAGGCTCATTCACTTTCTTGCCAGATATCGTGTCTAACTTGCTTCATCACCCAAACTTGCTTCATCAACATGAGTGCTGTTCCATCGACGCTGCCAAACACGCGAGACGAAGTTGAGGCGTGGCTCTTGAACGTCTGTCAAATCTCGTGGGCCGTGTCCCGGTTGGTAGTGATCGAGAAGCTAACTATTTTGCGCAGAACTTCATGGCATTCGACTCCCTGGACATCACGGAACACCCCAAGATCTTCGCGAAGAACGCACAGCTGCAGTTCGCGAACAACCCTGTCCTCCACGGAATCGAAGAGATCCAGCAAAGCTTCGTGTCCGCCTTCAGTGCTCTCTCGTACATGAAGCATGTGCCCGTGACCTTTGGTAGGTTGTGTCTGCTCCCTTCACGCCTTCTCAAGAACTGGATCTCATGCCTCAATGCAGATAAGGTAGACAATAAGGTCTGGTTCACTGTCGAAATATCGTACAAAGCCAAGGGTGACCCCAAAAACCAAACGATCACGATCCCGGCATCTGCGCTCGCTCACCTCGTTACGGAGGGCGAGGAGGCTGGAAAGCTGGCTCGGTTCCAGGTTTTCCTCGACAACAGGCCCGTCTTGGAGAGGATTGAATATGTTTCAAAACTCGGAAATAAAGAATGAGTCGTATGTGGAGACGGCTGGGGGGATTTTTCAGGAGCTATCAGTAATAGAATAAACCGTTTTCTCAAATGAATTACTGAATTACCAACGAAGGCTATAGACCAGACTCTGCAACTCCTCTGTCAACTGGCAACGATTGTAGCTCAGCGGTCTCCTCTCCGGCACTACATCGTAATCACCCCCACGTGCCTGATCTTGAAGATACTTTATACGAGGATCCCATCCCACCGTCAAGCTTCCGCTTTCGTCTTCATCCCACTGGCTCATGGGCCGGTCGATGATGAGCACAACCCGATGCCACTGGGGAACAAACTTGCGTGGCGGCATCCGAAACTCCCTGTTCCTAATAATTTCCCGCTAGACAATCTCAACTATTGAGTGAGCATGGCACTTGGCGACCCTGCCCTCATCGGGCGTCTCGGTAGGAAGCGGCATGCTCCAAACGTCGATACGGGTCTCCTCGTTCAAGTTGCACCTGTTCAGTCTGCCGCACAATGTCTTCGCCAAGGCTTTGAGGCGGTCTGCGTCATCGGAACCTGGCGTCGTGTCGTAGATCTGCAGGGCGCGCCTGGGACGTTGGGGGGCGGGCGGCGCTATGGGAGGTCATTTGTCAGGGAGGTCGAGGGGGTCGCGGTATTCCCATATGCTGAAGGAGGGTGTGCCGTCATGGCTTGGTGCCTCTTCGATGGCGAGACGAACACGAATCATGGTTGGCCTCTTAGCGCCGACTGACGGTCTTCGTGGGCGAACTTCGGACATCTGGTACAGGGCTTCGACTAGGCGGCTGGAAGTTTGCGATGAGAAGACATGAAACAATGGTGGCTCATGCCGTGAATTGTATTCTGTGATTTATATTCAAGGGCCAACCAACAGCGTGGGTCCGCGTCGCTAGGCAGTAACTTGGGTCCGCGCCGCCAAGACTCATGTAAACGCATGTTGTTGGTTTAATAGAGGGATACAGGTCACGTCCAGTTGTGATCAACACAGCCTTCAATCGGTGATGAGGAACAATTTGAAAGAGGGCGTCCGACTGACAAACTCCATTTCTGAATCTACTTGGCCATTTTCTCCAACTCCCTACGCAAGATCTTTCCTACAGGGGCTCGGGGAATGGCTTCGACGAACTGCACACCTCCAGCTAGATCCTTGCCGGTCTTCTGGAGGACAAACTCGATCAGTTGCTGCTCAATGACGTCGGTTGTTGCTCCCTGGCTGGTCGCCTTCGGAGACAGCACGACGAAAGCTCTAGGAACGCTCCCCTGACCGTCACGAGGCACACCGATCACTGCAACATCAGATACGGCGGCGTGCTCCCGTAGAACTGTCTCCAGTTCTGAAGGAAGCACGCGGGAGGCTCCATTCTTGATGACATCCTAGACAAAGAGTATGATTAGCAAACATCCTGACATCTTCAGAGACTAAGTGGATGTCTTCGGAAGCATCCGATTCCAATGTCGATTCAGGTGAAAGAATCGGGCTGCAAGTGATTAAGGACACGCCGGAGAACATTGCAAACTCACCTGCATGCGGTCCACATAATAAAGGAGTCCATCTTGAACCCTCACGGAGTCACCCGTCCGGAGCCACCCGTCTTCTGTGAACGCCGCCTTATCGGCCATCGGGTTCTTGTAGTACCCGAGCATCACCGTGGGGCCCTTCAGGAGAGCCTCTCCCACTGGCTGCGTGTCCCTGCCATCTTCATCGACAAGCCTCATCGTCACGCCCGGGAGGAGTGCGCCCACGCTCCCCAGCGTGTCCCAGCCAGCCCTATCAGGCGGCATGTGCGTCATCGCGCCTGTCGTCTCCGTCGCGCCCCAGGTTTGGCTGATCAAGACCGGCTTGCCCTGCTCTGCATCTCCCAGGACCTGGTCGGCTCGGGCCGCGAGGAGAGATTGAGGTACCAGGGCCGCGCCACCGCTGTATGCCACGCGAAGAGATCGGAACACCCCGTCAACCAGGGCTGGCCGATATTGATGAAGCTTGGCGATGCCATCATATATGGGTGGGGCGGTGAAGAAGGTCGTGATCTTGAGGTTTTTGTTGTAACTCAAGAACTTCATCATGTCGAATAGTCCGTTTGGGACCCAGTAGACTATGCCGCCGTCGAGAAAGGGGTTGACGAAGTAGCCTTGGATGCCGGAAATGTGGGCAGGTGGGAGGTGTGCGAGGGTTCTGTACCCGTTGGATAGAGGTGGCTCGCCAACCAACTTGCCAGACTCAGCCCACTCATTCCATACACGCCGGTTGATGGAGGAAGGAAGGATTGCTTCTGCGACCATGTTGGCGTGCGATATGAGGACGCCTTTCGGCACGCCTCTCGTACCCGACGAGTAGATCAGGCAAACAGGTGTCTTCCGTAGTTCATCTGCATCTGTCACCGTCTTCCAGTCCAACAGATTCTCTGGTCCCGTGGCTGCAAAGTTGCATTGGATATTGCCATCAGCACTCTTCAACTGGATCTCGGGGTAAGATTCCAAGACGAGGATGTTGGAGGGTTTCACGCCACTATTCAGGGCCAACTCCTTCGTGTCGGCGCTGCAAAGCAGAACCTTGGTATCTGGGTCGGCAAGAACATTCTTGAAACTGTCGATGTTCGAAGTGATTGCTGGGCTCACGGCCGAGTAGACACCCCCAGCAGCGACGACGCCAAAGAAGAAGCACGGTAGACGGGACTGACCGCTGCAGATTGATGCAACGATATCTTTTCCATGGCCATCTTCGCCTATGCCATATTCGACGCGAAGGAAGTGTGCGATTTGTTTGGTGAGAAGCCTTGCATCGGACTTGGTGATAGACTTGGTTGGCTCTTCAGCCTCGGCGTGGATTGGCGTATCTTCTTTTGCAAGGCAATGTTCGGAGTCTATCGTGACATTGAAGGTGGGTACTGACGATGTCTCGTCCCTGAGGCTGCGGGTAGACTTACCGAAGAGGAGGGTGAGGAGGTCCAGACTCGGAACTGCCCCGGTCTCCTGGCTGCCGTAGATCATTCTGACTCTTCACTGACTTGTGTGTCTGCCGACGCGTTAGAGTTCGAAAGTCAGACGACATGCTCCAGAATGAGGCGAGTTCCTTGGTCTTGATGTAGTATTCCGATGCTCCCCCCAGGGAGACCCCCGGACTTTCGGAGACACCCCGGACTTGTCGAAATGACTTTGTTCCTGCATCGCGCTTGCAAGGGTCGTTGGCAGATCTTCATTCAACGGTTTTCTTGGCCGAGTTAGGTTAGACTTTGTTGACCGCTCTATGAACCTAGTGGGCCTGCTCGTGTTTACTTTGCAGTAGAGAATCGTGATGTCGCCAGAATATCCCACAAAGGAAGTGATCTGGATTTCGATTTACGGCTCGCGATCTCGAAAATGTGATCATGGCAATCTGAGTCAGATAGATCACAATCTGAGTGGGTATCGTGAATCCCATTTATGACACTGGCGTAACACCGATTTCCATGTTATCGTGATTGGCCGTGTGGTTGACTTTTCAATCTTGATTCTCATCATCAACTTTGCCGTCGCGTATGCTTATTCTCAATAACCATGAAGATCTGGCTTAAGACATTGGCAATTTGATCAAAGGTTTATTTCGCACACATCTCAAAGACCACGAAATCATCAGGTTGAATTAAAAAATATGTTTATTTGATGTTAAGATAACTAGGTCGAGTCTGGCAACGGGACCTGGATTGAGACTAGCCCTTGATGGCAATGGCATGTGGAAAGTCAAATTACGCAGAGTTGGCCTCGGCGATGATCACATCGGCGGCCTTCTCACTGGCCATGTAGATGCTGAGAACAATGTAGTGGCCAGGGATCTTGGGGAAGATGGAGGCGTCCACAACTCTCAGGCCATCAACGCCGCGGACCTTGAAGTTGGAGTCAAGAACAGCGTGCGGGTCATCATCAGAGCCAATGGGGGCAGTGCAGGAGGCGTGGTGGCCCCAAGCCTCATCTTGGGCGAACTTCTTGAGGTCAGCCTCGGAAGAGACGTTCTTGGGAGGCCAGATGCGCTCGAAAGAGCCGTCGAGAGGGATGAGGTTCTCGAAAGCCTCGATGCCGTACTTCATGCCCTCGTAGACAGCCTGGAGATCCTCCTCACCGCCGAAGCCCTCGAAGAAGCTGCGGAAGGTGATGTTGGGGGTGTCACGGGGGTTGACGCTGGTCAGGTTGACGGTGCCAGCGTTGTTGCGGCTGTGGGCCTTGAGAGTGAGCCAGGTCCAGACGCTGAGATCGGCGAGGGCGTGCTCGGCGTAGTTGGGGAAATAACCGTTGAAGTAAGCAGGGACACCGCCGAGGAACAGGTCAGGGTCGGCATCGGCGACGGAAGAGTGCTTGAAGTAGCCGAAAGCAATGCCGTTGGTGGTGTAGCCGCCCTTGAGACCGCCGACGCCGTTCTGCCAGTTGGTGAAGCAGGGGTCCTCGCCGTTGTGGGTGCCGTTCATGTCCAAGAAAGTGCAATCCTTGAGGAGGGCAAAGTCGGTGGGAGCCTTGCCAACGATGCCGACCTCGTAACGGTCCTGCATGTTGCCGCCGACACCAGGAAGATCCTTGACCACAAGGATGTCGAAAGATTTGAGCTCGGAAGCAGGGCCGATACCGCTGAGCTTGAGGAGCTGAGGGGTGTTGAAGACACCGGCAGAGACAATGACCTCCTTGCTGGCAAAGACGCGGCCATGAACACCGCCATCCTCTTTGGTCGCGCGGGGATCGGCGCGGTACAGGCTCTTTCCGTAGAGGTACTCGACGCCGGTGGCCTTGGGCTTGTCACCAGACTCATCGAAGTTGATCTTGGTGACCAGGGTGTTCAGGGCCAGGTCCAGCTTGTACTTCTTGGAGCCGTCTGCGTTCTTCGCGGTGTACACATCGTAAATGAAGTCGCGAGGAGACGAGCGGGTGAAGGAAGGGTCCTTCATGGCGAGCGGAATCTGGTAGATGTCGTCGTTCTTGTCACGGCTGGGGGCATCGTTGTTCACATCGACAACCAGAATCTCAAGAAGACCGGTGACAGTAGTGATGATCTTGCCCAAGATGTTCTTTCCCATGGTGGTGGCAGCGGCAAGGACGAGAGACAGAACCTTGGGGTCCTCGACAATGAGAATCGGAGGGGTTGTCTGGGTCTCGAGCCATCCATCGTAACCGTGAACAGACGAGTCGAGGCCTACAATTGAGATATGTCAGTCTCATACCGTTGTCCTATGGGTGGTTTAAGACTTACCACCAGGCAGGTAGTGGCACTTCTCCAGCTTCTTGTAGTACTCGCGCATCTTGTCTGCCTGCTTCTAAGTTAGCGCTCGAATTTCCCTGCCGTGTTTGAAGAGTTACTGACCTCCCAAGTGTTGTCACCAGTGATGGTAGCAATGTTGTTCCAGTCACTGTCCTGCGGCAGAATGGTCACAAGAGCATTGTGCTAGAGTTTCGTTAGCGATCCGTAAGACTTCCCAACGCGAGATATCGATGATTTCACGAACCTGGGCGCAGCCACCAAGGGAGCCAACGCGAGGGTACAGAATGCCGAGAGGCTCGGAGCCAGCAGGCGGGTTAGTGCCGACGTAGATCTCGCCATCGGCCTTTCTCCAGGAGAACTTGGTGTCCTTTTGAGCCTGGACGGGATCTTCGTAGTGATTGACGAAGAAATCCCACTGGATGGGCTCATGCTGAGATGCCAAAACGTGCAAAGCGGGCACTTGAACGGCGGCATCCTCTCCTCTGTCCTCTCCAGCATCCATCAGCAAAACGCTGAAGCCGGCCAAGGCCAAGCGAGCGGCAAGAGGAGCACCTCCAGGACCAGAGCCGACGACGACATAGTCGTAGGTGGAGTTGGCTACCGGGCCCTTGGCGGTGATGGTAGGACCGAGAGGCTCATCGAAACTGCCATCTCATGTAAGTAAAGTGAAGCACAACCTGAACACGACGAATAAAGGGTGTTGGGCACAATAGTTGCTATACTGATGGAGATGCACGCAACAGCAAGCATGAAGCCATCGGCGATAACAGAACGAAGATAGAGGGAAAGAGAAAACATGAGAAAACAAGATGAGGGCAACACCGATAGCGGAGACTAAAGATAACAGGGTAAAGTAGTTCGATGGAGGCGCCAACTGGAGCAGCCGCAGTAGTGCCGACTACTTTGAAGATCCGTGGATGAAGCAGCTATGTTGGTGATGACAAAGACACCCGCCAACATTGTGGAAGAGCATTATTCTGACGACGATAGGAAAAGTAAAGACTTACGCAGCATTGACTGCCGCAATGAGCGCCACAGCGGGCGCGAGGAACTTCATGGCGACAGGGAGCAGGACTTATAACGAACGCAAATTATTATAAATGAATGACTAGCCGGTGCAATAGCCGGTGGAATATGTTGGATAAAAAAGAGTGACGGACGCCCAAAGGCTGTAAGTTGGTGAGAACGAGTAAGTCTCAAGAGCCAAGGCTGCAGTATCATCGGGATTGGATCTTAAGTATGGTTGGTGGTTTCCCAAGTTCCGGGCTGCGTTCTCGACGACTTCCCCGCTGATCGGCACTGCTGATGTGATAAGTGACTTACGAAAAGCAGCAAATTAATTGACAACCCATCCAGCAGGAGTTCATTTCTAGAATATGACAATCATCCCCTCGCGCAATTTTCATTGGCGTGTGCCATTGTCGTTACAACGCTCTTTGGCCCCCAGTCCAGCCCCGTCAGCACTCACGCAACCCCTTGAAACCCCCGTAAAAGAAGAGTTCTGCCCAAATCGGAAAGAAACACAGGGGGCAGTCCGGGGTGCTTCGTTCTTCTTGTGGCCCCTGTCTTCTTGTCAGTCGGCCAACACGGCATGGCATCCCCCACTAAGGCGGGGCGTATGCGAACAACTGCGAGTTCCAAGACGTAAAGCCAAGTTCAACGAATGAGCAGAGACCGAAAGAGGCTGTATGCAAGCGTTCTCGGGGTCCGTTATCACCGAAGTTTATTAGTAAGAATTTTCTCTTTCTAGAACACTAAAAAAACTGGGTAAGAAAACCAAAGGTCCGTTTTCACTGATCGACCCGAAATGGCTGATTCGGTGTTGCTGTTCGTCGAATTACGTTTGTCGTTGTCGTTTTGGTCATTGACTTCGTCGTGTCTTTTTTTCCAAGCCACCCGTCGATTCCAAGCCCCATCGTCCATCGTGGTCTTATTCGCCATCTCTACTAGGGACCCGAGTGCGTGCTCCTCGCGTACGGGAAACGCCGTTGAAGAATGAGGAGACAACTTCTAAGCGATGCTTTCAAACACTCCCGATCGGCTACCTTAATTGCCTATTCTGACACCGCCATACGCGCCGACCATGTAACGTGTAGGGCTCAAGGGACTCCATCAACAGGGATGGTTTACCGAAACGAAGAAATGCAACGCTAGGACAGAGCACAAGGCATTCCAAGCCACATCGCAACGTCTCGACCGGGAGAAACACCCGCTGCGCAATCATTACAAATTGGGAAACGATTGTCTTGGAATTGGCTTCATCATCCAAACGTCTGTTCAGCAACTGGCCACAGTGAGGGCCGTGGTCCGATGCCACCAACTACGGCCCGAACCAGGACCAGAACCAGAGCCACCAGTTCGCTGAAGCCGGGATGATCCCGGTGGAGGCCGCCGAAGATCTCACTCTTTTGGCTGGCGTGGTAGCCCACAGCAAATTTAAAAGTTTACAATTTCTGATCCGCTGTCGTCCATTGTCGAGTGTAACATCGTGAGTCGTGCTATCCATTTTAGGTTATGCCCAGCAAACTGTCCACTCAACGGTCGGGATCCAGGAAATACGGCATAAGGGGCAGTCCACGATACGCGGTCTGCAAGCGAAGAATGGATGACACGGGACTTGAGTGCTCAAAGCTTGAGGTGCGGACTAAAGACTTCCGCCATCAAACTTCTGCTGTCAAACAATAAACTTATTGAAGTTATGAAGCTAGTGGGATGAGTGGGATGCGTGGGATGAGAGCACTGGACTTGGCGAACTGTATTAGAGCATACGAGGCGCGTTGCAGCGCGTCTCTCTGGAGTTGGTTATGTCCCGTGAGTTGTTGGTCATGTACGATAGACAAAGGGCCCGCCGAAGCATTCTCGAAAGTCTTGATGTTGGCGTAGATACGATCAAAAAACCGTTTCAACAAGCATCTCTTGCGCTATCTGCCCAAATTCTCCGTTAGCACATACCGCCTCCATGGTAACTGGCTGGCATGTCTTCCCATTCGGCCGGGTACCTGGCAGCGCAACGCGCTCCACAGGACACGGTCCTTCTTCCCAAGTGCCGGTGCAAGGGACATCCAGTTCTGCTCATCTGCTGGGCGGGGTCTGGCTGGGCCTTTGGTCTTGTCCCCATGCCAGGGCGACGATCCAGGCAGATCTTTCGTAAGTCAGAGCGGAATGACTCGCCCTCACGCGGAAGACGTTGAGCATGGCAGGGCCTGGAGGAGTATCTGTAACGCTGCGTGCTTTTGCCCGAGGAATCCGATCAAAGGAGTGTTTACGAGGCAATTTCATGCATTTCATGCATGGAGGAACAACAGAGTGTGACATGGGATTTAAGTGGTCAAGTAACCCTTTTCTCTGTGCTTGCCCTCTTCTATTTAACCCCGTTTAAGGCCTTTTTGCCAAGCGACCAGTGCCATTTTGGAGAGCGTCCCCGAGTTGCTGTCACCCAAAACACCGGCATCATGAAGTTCTCCATGCTTGCGGTTTTAGCCGCCTCCTTCATGGCTTCAAACACCATGGCCCAGACAGATGCAGAAGCCGCAGCTGCAGCACTGGCCATGGCAAAGAAGTTATACCCGGCATGTGCAGTAAGTAAACGATGAAGCACTGGCCCCTTTCATACGCTAGATCCCCCACTAGCGTCGACCAAAAATGGTGTCGCTGATCGTATACCAACTTTGGTAACCAGCTCGTCTGCTTGACCGAGCTTGTCCCAACGTCAGGTTGTTCACTCACGGACACGACTTGCCTTTGTACGAACGAGGCCCTCAATGCCAACCTGAGTGTCTGTGTCTTGCAAGGTTGCAATCATGAGGACGCACTGAGTAAGTCCCTGCCTGGCACATCTGGGGTATCTAATTGGTTGGAAGGGTGATAACTGACTGTTCTGTCGCATTTAGAAACAAAGAATGGCTCCGCTACCATGTGCGGTCTTCCCGTGCGAGACGAGAGCTTGAAGCCGCCCCTTGTTGCAGGAGTTGGGTTTGCACTTGCGCTGGTTTTCTTCATTCTGCGTCTTTGCTCTGCCCTTCCTGGTTTTGGTCGAGAGCTTGGCTGGGATGACTGGACGATCATTGCATGTGTTATTCTCACCGTCCCGCCGACTGTTTTCGCTTTCACTTGTAAGAAGTCGCTTGGGCTGTCGGGTATGAAGCAATGCTGACTGTATTTTCCAGTGGTCGACAATGGCTTGGGCAAGGATATGTGGACTCTTCCGCTGAAGAACATTGAGAATGTTCTTGAGGTATGCTATCATACTTAGGTGTTATACTTCGTTCTCAAGAGTATATACTGATATCACATCCCGCAGTACTACTTCCTCGGCGAGTTGTTCTACTTCCTGGCCCAGGCTATGAACAAACTTTCCATTCTCTTCTTCTTGAATCGCATCTTCCAGCATAACAACCTTAGGAAGGCCATTTGGGTCACCATGGGTCTTGTTCTGGCTTATGCGGCGGCTTTCTTCTTCGCGACACTGTTCCAGTGCTGGCCTATCAACCATGCTTGGCTACAGTTGGAAGAGAAGCATCTGGGCCGGTGCAACAACATCCATCTTCAGGGTTGGTTAAGTGCTGCGTTCAACATCGTATTGGACGTCATCATCCTGGTGCTTCCTCTACATCAACTGTATCTTCTGCAGATGCCTCTGAAGAAGAAGTTGATGGTCATGGTAGTGTTCTCCTTGGGAATCTTGTGAGTTCAACAGCTTTTGTGAGGGTGTTTTGAGACCAGTATTGACTAACTCTTTCTTCAGTGTCACGATTGCCAGTGTCATCCGTCTTCGCACGTTGGTAGTTTTCGCCAACAGCACCAAGTAAGGATTCATGCTATGACTGTGAGACTCACTTGCTAACATTCTACAGCATCACCTACGATTATGTTGATGCCGCTTACTGGAGTACCATTGAGCTCTACGCCGGAATTATCACAGCATCCCTCCCTGCCGTCTACAAGTTCCTCTCCGGACTCACAGCTAAGAGCGCCACATTTACGACCATCAAGTCAAAGCTTTCTGGCGCATCATCAGGATCAGGGGCTACAGATTCGACGGGCAATACCCTGGGTTCAAATGCTATTGCTCGCCGACTGACGCCGAAGCGTTCCGAAGCGGAGTTTGTACTACTAACAGATGTGGAAAGCGGCAAGAGCCAGAGATGGAACTAGCGGGTAGAGGGTGCCGACTCTACGTCGATAGAGCTTCTGGCCAAATTTTCATGGGGTCATTTAGTATCAAGTAAAAGAGATAATGTATATCCATAGTAATTTCACAAGTTTCTTTTGTGGCCATCTCAACTGGTATCGTAAACGGTAGGGGCGTACACCAGGGCACTTGAAGAGAAAATGCGTTCAACAATCCTTCAGGTATTGGGCTAGCATGCAATTATACTTGTCTATTGAACCCCGCTTGATTATCTTCGCCTTCTTCAATTTCTTAATCCGATTCCGCGGCATGACAACCAGCCTATGCGGCCAGATTACGCAGAACAAGAACCCGGTGAAGTGTCCTCGACTGGTCTCTCCAGAATATACCTATGTTTGCAGAACGACAGAAATGATTCCGTCCAGCGCTGGAAGCAATTGAATTACACTCCATGATGCAAGAGACGGTCTTTCGAAAAGCAGTGAACCGCTTCCCCTGGCTTAAGAAACTCTGATTAGTTTCGATTAGAAGCCATGCGCAATAGCTTTAATGCGAGTTTGAATATGTTTTCTTATGAAGACACAACTTTTGAATTATTCATGAGCTCCTATCCGAAACAAGCCCGCCTCCTTTTATTGAGACCAGCGTTACAACTGAATACCATGCCGTAGAGACTGTGACGACGTTCTGCTAGGCGTACGCGTGCATGTAAAACGCAACTTCGCGACATTAAATTTTGGCTATCAAATATTAGATGCCTTTAGTAACTAAGGTAGACGTTCATTATCGCATACGGTGAATATATATCTCATTACCAACATCTCAATAGTCGGACTACCACGGAGACACATCTGTGGGTGAACAGGTACTAGCGAAGATCGTATTCTAAATAGTTGTTTCTGATGTACTCTTTGGAGAGCATTGCCCTTATCACGTGCATTTCAATTTCTCACGCCACTTGAGGGTGTCCGAACACAGTTCAACGTCCTGTCCAACGCGGCGTAAGCATTAGGCTGCAATTTATGCATTTTCGGTGTGGGAATGTCGTGGGCAGATTGGACCTTATTTTCCTTCCTTTCCTTGGACGACAGAGGACAGAGGAACATCATGCGGAACCTGTACAGCCTCACGCTTAGGCGGGATACTTTAGAACCATTGGCTCGATCATCCTTGAGTGGTGCAGCACATTTACCTGCAGTGATACTATGCATGTCAGACGAGCTACGCGGTCTTGCCCAGAGAGCTCGGGAATCGACAAAATGTGGGAGGATCACAGGGAGGTACGAAGCGACAGTTCAGACGAGAGCGACGTTAGACTGCTAGGCAAAGCGGCTTCGAGAAAAGCGGTTGTGATTTACTTCAGCGTATGAAATGTTACAGCCCCGCCTCGCGCAACAAAGTTGTCCGACCGAGGCGAGGCGTGACTCACGAGGATGAAGCCAATCCTCTCACTTTTGCAGAGATGAAATCTTGGTACGGGCTTCGTAAAATTACTCATCTCATTTTGTTTTCGACATTTCTCTTTACGTAGTGTCTCGGTTAACCATCCAAACGTCTTTGCCTCGTCACGACTGCGAAGCACTACAACCTTGGTGCCTTGAGGTGACATGTAGATTTGTGATTCGTAGCTGGAGAGGTGGTGACAGATAGTGAACTTCTCTATGGAAGCTTTATGTTTGATTAATCACGGAACAATATTTGATTTGTCGAAGGGATTGATGCCGTAATAATCTTGCACTCGTAAAGTAATTTGTCACATGCTACCACCTGAGGTACACAGAATGCAAACAGTTCATGGCTGAGGTCATGCGGCAACCAATTTGGCGCCATCGCTGTGTTATTTCCAAAGATTGCTACGTAGGACTGAAAAGGCCCACCAGTTCCCGTCTAGGTGTCTGTACGTCTCCTCGAGCGCTGGAAGGTAGGATTCGGGGGCGCAACAAAATCCTTATTCCAAGGGGCCCCCATAAGAGCCATATCTGATGCGTCCTGGTGCCTACGTATCTTCTGTTCAAGACGGTTTGGTTGACAGAGAAGATGCAGATAGACTGAAAGAGGCTTAACGGCGAACATGGCCAGACCTATGATGGTGGAAAGAACGAAGAAGCAGAGGATTCGAGGTTCGAAGCAAATGACCTCCGATTGCATGATGCCTGAGGATAGTCCACCCGAAGACATCAAAAGTACCTAGTTTTCCGTGAATGAGTACTCTGCATCAAAAGTTTGAAATGTTTGTAAGAAGGTGCTTACTATGTTGAATGTCCAATGGTGAAGACCAATAGCTCTGTTGCCAGCCACTGGAACGTACAGTCCCAACTTCTATTAAGTTAGCTACGCTGAGAACACCCCATCTGCTGCTTCCAATTTGTACTTTTACGTACCTGCTCGATGAATTTCTCTGCTTTCTGCATCAGGCCATTCATATCTGAAAGGATCTCACGAAGCTCATCCATACTAGCACTGATCTTCTGCAGTGATAGTTTCAGCTGATTGGAGCTTCCTTCGAGAAGCTCGCCGATGTTATCTTTGGCAAAGGATGACCACGTCTGAATCACTCTGGCGAGATTACCAGTCAGACTATGAAGCAGTCTAGCGGCTTTTGTAATCCATTCGTATGCATTTTCAATGGCACGTGCCTGTGCCTCAGCGGAGCCTAGACTTGTTGGTTCAAGGAATGATGGAATGCCTAATTCCTATGTACTATGTGTCAGGTCTAGGTCAAGTTTGGCCTCGCACAATAGAGCTTCTTACAAAGAATCCAATCTTCCCCGTCAAAAAGACGAGAATATAAGCCCATTCTTCTTTGATAAGCCCGAGTCTGATTCTGACAATCAGACAAAAGTATTCCCTCGGGTCCCAGATCGGGATATTGGCATCGTGATGTCCCATAGTTAGAGGATCGTAGAACAGCTCATCTTCATTCGAACGCTGCTGATATGAAGATAAATCATCATGATTGGATTTTGCGGAGCCTCCATCATGATATGTATCGGTGAAGAGATACGCTGTCCATACAGTATTGTTGTTACCGACCACGAGGAAGGACGTTTGAACTTCATGCAGCCAGTAAGATGTCGGGCTACCGTCAGTGGAACTTACACTGCCTGTGAGAAAAGACAGTTCTATACTTCTGCGACATGGAGATCCATCCGGTCTCTTCCTGCTATCACGTGGAACTTGCGAGTGCCTCCTCAGCGCAAAGAAGGGCACGTGGAACTCCAACGTGAACGCGAAGGGACCGTCCTAGGTTACTCCAGAGTCAGAAAACCTGTCTCAAGTCTAATCAGGTGGTATATGAGATGGAACCTACGGTAAAAGCCGCACGGAACCGTCTTTGGGCCGTGAAATGTCTCAGAATGAAGTCTCGAAGTGCTGGAGCCACAATGGTCGAGGCTGATAGGATTAAGGCGGCTAGTGTCCAAGAGCCTGGATCTGGCACATGACTACTAGGCTGTCAGCTTGAACATTTGTGGGAATCTTCATAGTTCTGACACTCTTCTTGTGTTGGCATCTGGTTCCTGCGAGTGACCGAATCGCTTTCAACTCATGAGCGTAATTCTTGGGAAATCGTGAGACAGTTAACCAGCAGCCATACCTTCGATGTCATTTTCCTATAGAGCTCGGCAATTGTTACCGGCCCATTCCCATTTCGCGGTCCCCTGGATTGATTTCTCTCGTCAATCCACGCTACTCTCGAGCCGGAAGTTGGGATGCGTCCCGTGTACAGCTTAGTGAGCATATCATCTGAGCAAATTGTGTCGAAAATTGGCAACTCATAGTATATTCTTGGTGAATACTTCTGGCCTTCAAGAAACGTCTTCATCAAGGTCGTGGTTCCGTCGTACTTTGTGTTAATGAAAGAATTATTTTCAGTACTGATGAATAGAATCTCGCGCTCCCAGTCGAATGATGGATGTGCCAAGCACCGACAAACACGCTGACGGGCTTGACGTTGCTTCTTGTACCCAATGAGGGAACGCATTTGAATTCATCGGTAGTGAATGAAGCCAATTGTTAGTTGACAGGTTGACAAACACTTTCGCGGGGTGCATGTGGTGTTTGAGATACCAACTGTTGGAGAGGGTTGCTAGACTTATTACATTTTTGCTGTCTCGGGACGAGCACTCATTATATCTATAACGCTTGAGACTCTTCACGAGGGGTCATGGGCAAGTGAGGTTTGTGATACCGTCGCCCTCCATAGTAACAGCACAAACGACGCGGCAATGCGACATGGTAATCATAAGGCACCGACGCCCAACGGGCGCCAACTTTTACGTAGCCTAAAAGTTTCAGGTATTCTCTATGGAATTAAACCTGCTTCGGGGAGTGCTGCGATTGCCTTTGGCTCGGGACTCCCTCTGACTGGGGATTTCACATACGAAGCTTGCAACTTCCCCTTAGGGCATGTTTGCCGAGCAACAGTTGGTGGAGCTCTCAGTGAAGTGATCACGATATCTTGTGTGGGTGAAATCTGTGCCTGTTACTGTTGGGCTAAAGATGGATAAATCAGGCTGCAACACGATTTCAGAAGCCGACGCGCCTCAAAATGGTGAGGAAATTGTCTCTTTAGGGTGTCTCCTTGGCAGTGCTATCGATCAACACGTGTCCTAGCGCTAGCACTATTTCATTTATCCGATGCGATGTTTGGGTAAAATTTGATGGTGATAGTCGACACCGAAAAGATTCGGAATGCTGCAAGGGTGCTTTCACACTGGCGTTGAAAAGAAGATCAGCCATCAAGTAATGGGTTGGACGGAAGATCGGTGGTCCTGTGACCGACTGTTTGGAAATCATGCGATTACTACCTGCATTCTGACACGCCATCCTGGCGTCGGGATTGGTTTACACTTGGCCATACAGGATATGTCACACCGTCATCCTGCACACCATCTTTCCACCTTATCCTGGATAGAGGAAACTAAGGAGGGCACGCCTCATGCGGCCTGATTTTCACTTTGGTGACGGGACAGTACGCACACCTGGGCGTGCCACAATATTGACATGAACCCGCGCGAATAGG